CAAGCGGTGTAGGATTAGCAGTTGGTTTAGTAGTGGAGAGCATAGCTGTAGACGTCTTACTGGCTCGGAATTTTGATTTGAGCAATTTATGCACGTTAACCTTGTGCTTTTACCCTTCATATGGTTTATCACTGCTGACTCGACCATACTGCCAACATCGAACGTTTTATGACGCACAATGCAACAAGCTTCTAGGCGATGTGCACCCATAACGAGCCAGTCTTTGTACTATTTCTTCAGAAGCCATGTATTGTTATCTTTCCACCTGTGTGTGTTTGTCAGCAAGATTTCTTGAAGACAGCTGAATGGATTTGGACAAAAGTTGATATACATTTGGACTATGACTCAACATAGAAATGAATAGTTTTTGAATGGTCAAGGTCACGAAAAAAAAAATCCCTATCTATTAACATGGTGACCGATTTTTCACAATATTTTTGTTCTATAGCTCAGTCAAAAATGATCGGATTTTGATAAAACTTTGTGGACATATTTAGAATAATATTCCTCATTGTCCTGCCAAAAATTGTCTGTGTCGGTTGATAACGATGAACATATGGACACATTTTGATATTTTTTGAGAGTCCAATATGATAAAAGTAGCGGAAGTATATACTTTACTGTGTGCTCCTCTAGTTATATATACATTTGCCTGACATATTTTGCTCAAATATAGGTTCAAGTGAATACCACAGAACATAAAAATATTGACGGAAAAAAACCGGATGAATCACGATTACATAATTGCTTGAATGGCGAGGCTCAGACGTTGATGGCTACATTCAACCTTGTAGTGCCTGTACCACTGAAATATTCGCAGTTGCTATTCACGCATGCGCATGTGCAATGTATGCTCGTCACTAAGGCAAAACACCAAGGACTCGCTCGGGAGATCGTTGCCATCTGATATTATACGATGTAATCACCAAATAAACAAATTATGGAAAGCACTGGTTTATAATACTGTTGCATGTCTGCTCATTTGTTAATCTGTTAATCTGCTCTGGTATAAGTTCTTTCCGAGGAACTTCAGCGATACAAGTCCTTTCTTAATTAAAACTAGTTTATTCTTTTTCGATACAACTTTGCAATACATAGAATTTCCACAGTCACTTTAATATATACACATGCTATAATTCACAACGATTCACGCACTTTACTTACATTCACTACCGCTCACTTGACTCAGTTATCTGTCTATCTGCAATTATTTGCTGGGCTTATATACTAAAATAGAGGGCGCCTGGAAAAGACTAGAGTAGCCAGGAACAGTCATGATTCTTCTAGAAACT